ATTTGTTCTCGGCGAGGACCATCGAGGACCATCCTGGACCATCGAGCCAAACAAAAAAAAGCACTCACGCAATCGAAACATGCACGGGAAATGGACGTCCGAGCGACGGCAAGAGGAAGAATGAGGACGAGGCCCGAGCGCCCCGAGCGCCGAGAACCAGCAGGTAAGCAGCGCGCGGGCGGCCTGAGGCATCGCGGGCGGTTCGCGGCGTGCACAGAAGCAGCAGGTGGGCCGACAGATGGTCAGAGACATGGCGGGAGGCTGTTGTCCGTTTCTGGCCTCCATGGGGCCCTCGCCGCGCCTTGGGACGGCCAGAGAAAGCAACTCAGGATGCAGAGCGGGTCTCAGGGACGAGGTCCGGACTTCTTGGGAGGCCAGGCCATGAGAGTTTCACGATCACGACGCTCGGGGGTCGGGTCGGACGAAAAGGGGAGATACACGGAAGAAGTGGAGGTACGAAGTCAGCTGCTGCATGCAGAAGGTTTCGGCCCCGCCGTTGAGCGCCTTCCTTCGATCGATCGGCACCTCCTGGCGCCGGGCGGCGCTGGGAAAATCAGCAGGGCGGGGGGGGTATTCGCCACCCCCTCCTATATGCCATCCTCCCCTGTCGTCCGACCCGGCAGGGGCCACGAGAGAAGGATTGCAAAACGAAGGATTGTAAAAAAACCCTTCGTTTGAACGAAGGATTGCAAAAACGAAGGATTGCAAAAAAAACCCTCGTTCAACGAAGGGTTTTTTTGCAATCATTCGTTCAAGGGTTTTTTTTGCAATCCTTCGTTCAAACGAAGGGTTTTTTTTGCAATCCTTCGTTCGAATGATAAGAAGACGCCGTGCACGTCAGAGGACTAAGAAGCCACCCGGCGTCGCCAGTTCCACGGGCAGATGGTCTCTAAAAATCTGTGCGTGCCAGCCCTTCTCGCCAGGAGGCCCCCAGGAGGCCCCCCGGGGCCACGAGAGGGGGAATCGAAGTCGGGGGCGGAGGCATCCGGTCGGAGCCCCCTACAGTCGGGGCTCCGAAGAAGGAACCCTTTTCGTTGGGGAGGGGCTCCGCGTTCCTTGATTGTT